AGTTTTTCTTCTCATATTTGTGACATGAGAATTTTTTCCTTGTCTTAATGTAGTTAATTTCTCAATCTATTTGTGTTTACCATAGTCTATTTTGTTTAAAATATTTTTCTTATTTTAGTATCAGATAAATATTCCCATATCACATAGTATTATATCATATTTGGCTTAAGATATTTTTCAGTTCTGCTCATTCAATTTAAAGACACATAATTAATTCCCTTTGGTTTTTTTTTTCCCTTGACAGAAATGCATAATTGTCTCCATAGGAAAATAAATTGTTTTCACTATTGTGTTTTTTAAATAAGTACCAATCTTAGAATGATTCTTAGTAGATCAGTGAAGTTTATCTGTATTTGATTTCTATATTGGGTTTGCTCTTTCATCAGAGAAGAGAGTTTAACTAGGAAACATACAATTGAAATTACTACATATTTAGAACATATGTTTAAAATACAACTAAATACTAAAATAGACTTTTATTTTTTAATGTATTATTGTTTTACCTCTTTTACAAGACAATTGCATTTTGGAAATTGTTGGAGTCTGTAAACAGGTCAGGATGGTGTCTGACAAATGTTAGAGTCTGTAAACAAGTCTGGATGGTGCCTGGCATATTGCCAGAGGGAGTGGTTTGTGAAGTAACGCCAGCAAGCCATTAAGTGTGGAGATTCCTTATTGGTTGACTGCTGTATTGAGTTTATGTTAATTAGATAAGCTGTGTGGAATGTATAAAAACCTCTGTTGTCCTACAATAAGCGGCTCCTACTCCTGCTGTATCAACGTACACAAGTTATTCGTCACCCCCCGGTTAGTTTGCTGTACCTGGACTGCAGCAGGAAATTTTCTTTTTAATAAATATGTGTGCTACTTTAGGTTGTGCTGGGTGCTAGGGCTGAAACTGTGTCACTCTGCTAAATTTATGTATTGAAGTCTTAATTCCCAACATGATTGTGTTTGGAGATAGGGCTTTTAAGGGCCGGATTCTAATTCAATAGAACTAATGGATTTATAAGAAGAGGAAAACAGAGAAGGAACTAAGCCAGTGCATGCACTTAGGAAAGGCTACAATGAGGACACAGTGAGGGGGTGGCCATCTACAAGCCAGGAAGAGGTCTTCACTAGGAACCAAGTCAATGAGCACCTTCATCTTGGAGGCCTTCAGAACTTTAAGAAAATAGAAGTCCAACCAATGATATTTTGCTCTAGAACTTGGAGAATTCAGTACACTGAATATTACTTAATTTTTTTTACTTGATATTTTATCATAATAATTGAAAATACTTTAATCAGTGGTATATGTATGTGTGTGTGTATGTGTGTGTGTATATATGTGTATATATATATATAAACCTCAAAGATACTAATGAATAACAGCAATTTTTGGCTAACCCCTCTTCACTCCAAATTTCCTTTTCTAATAGACAACCAAAAACTCTTTAAACTGTTTTTTCTGATATGCATATCTTTATTTCTATTAGCATATACATTCAAATTATCTTTTCTTCCATGCCTTCTGCTTGTGATCATTTGTAAGTGTGGTAATTACATCCTTCTTTTCTCCTCTATTCACCTATGTCTAGTCACCTGTAGAGTTTCCCCCTCAGTGTATTGACTTAATATATTCTATTAACAAGCCCCCAATATATTTCCTTCCTTTAATAAAACGAACATTCTTTCTGATGAATACTGTCCTATATCATGCATTATACTATTCCATTTAGATTATTCAACATAATCTTCACTAAAAATGTTAATGATTTTATATTTCTTTCAGAGAAGAACAACTAAGGCAATCCTAGTAGCCTTGCTAAATGGTATACATAAAATCCTATTTGCTGAATGAATCAATAATTAAAAACACAAATATATGGATTTGGATCAAATTATGTTTCAAGAGGTCAAATTATGTTTCAAAAGTTTAACATGGTCATATAACAAAAAAAAATGAGGCACTCCTGATTAGCATATGAATACTTTCTTCCTTGTGAAATTTCCTTTGTTACAGTGTTCCTCATAAATTGTCTTCAGAATCAAAATGGAGATTTGTTTATATCTTCTGACTTTAGCATATTTTTCAAAAACCTTCTTTACTGCTTGACGCCCTGCTTTAAAAAAATTAAGCAAAACAAAACCCTGTAATATATAGATGGTGTACCATTTACATAGGCCACCTCTATGTCCACATTTGCAAAATCACTCTTAGCTGCCATTTTTATTTCCCTAATTTTAATAAAAGTTATCTTTCTTAATCAGGGTTTTCCAAAACATCGAGATGACTCAGTGTTTATGGACATGATCATCCCAACACCCTGACTTCTCAGTTAATGAGATGTCTATCCTTAAGGAAAGGTTTTAGTTTCTTCAACTTTACCTGTATCCATGGCCATATCATGACCCACTAAACTGTTTCATCTAGTTCAACCAATTTAGAACTAAAATCTCCAGTTATGTTTGCTCCACCTTTTCATTAACATAATAATGAATCAATCTCTACATTGTTCTCTCTATCCTTGACTTCCCTTTCCTATCCAAATTTATGAGCCTTCATCTCAAACATACATTTGCCAGTACCCATAATCCTATTATGTATTCAAAGGGCAAGGAGATTAAATTGAAAGTTTTGTAGAAATCTAAAAATAATTAGAAGATAAAATTCAAAAATTTAGTAGATAGTTGAACAAATGTTATGAAGAATATCACTTTTCTCATAAATAAAATGTCAAGAGAACATTTTTGCTTCTTTGCACTCCTAAACTTTAACCATGTGAGACTTTGGGTTTCATCAGCTTATTAATTGCCACCCCTTCTCTGATTCATCAATAAAAATATGTCAGGGATAAATTCTATTCATGTTTAAAGTTCCAGATGAAAGATATTTTCCTGACTCTGCCAAAATGCTCTTGGACATGCTGTCATTGAATATTACAATCTCTCATCACAGCAATGATAATGTCTATTGTAATCTTCTGGGCTTCTTTCTGCTTTACTTGTCTTACACAGGATTGTAAATTCCCTAAGGGCAAAAACCTTGCACAACTGGGTTTATTTGTTGGTCACTCAGGTAGTAATGGTACAGTGTCTAACACATTAAAGTCATGAAATAAATGCTTTTTTTAAAAACAGTGAATTAATGAATAAATATATTAAACAGTTAATCAACATTATCTTACTATTAGATTAATAAATGTAAAGATACAGAATCCATTTGAAAGGAGGCCACTAAGTTAACATTTTAAGAGTCAGAGTCATTGAAAATTTAAGCTAATGTTCTAAAAACAAGAGATCAAGACTTAGATTTGGGCAAATTGCACTGAAATACTACTGACTGGACTGGCTCAGCATGTGACAAACCCCATGCGAGAATGCTCAAATGCTAAAAGTTCAGCTGCCACTTCAGGGATTTGGTGAAGTACCCTGTACTCTTTCACCTCCAGCACAGTTTTTCTTGATTTACTTCTGTTCATCTGAAAACCTAAGTCCTCTCACTTGTATATGGCTTGAATTATATGATATCCTTACAAGGCCTTTTCAGTTCAAAACATAACTTAATATGCCCTTTTAGCCACACAAAATGTTTAAAATTGACTTACACTTACTATTTGGTGTTATATGACCAAAACATTTAAATAACTTAAACATGTTTTACTTTATTCCATTAAATTCTGCTAATAAAAGGGATCTCAAATTGTTCTAAGTTACCAGTTAGTTTGTTTTTCTTTAATGATACAAATCTAAATTATGATATCAGAAGATTTGGTAGGATGTGTTGTATTTTTATCTAATTGGTAAACATTATTTTGTCTTCTTAAGGTATCTCAATTTTTACATTGAAAAAAATGTCCTAATTTGACTAACATCAAAGGTTTGTTTCTAATACTGATTATGAATGTTAAGATTTCAAGACAGCAAATGTTTATTTACAGTGCTATGATTGTAAAACTAGTGTAATATAATAATGCACTCAACTTTATATAACTAATAGTGTTCATGGAGACAAAATAAGTTCTGACTTTTATGTAAACGAAAAATACAATTAATGTAAATTAGAGTAAAAATGAATTTATTTCTTGTAATACTTAACTAGATATATAAATTTAAGGCCACCTCAAACAATGGAAGAAAAATTATTTCACAAGGTGCTATGGTCTGAATGTGTCCACCAAAATTCATGTGTTAGAAATGCTTAATCCATCACCTAATAGCATTAGTAAGTAGGACCTAAAAGAAGGATTTTAAGTTATAGGAACAAAATCTTCATGAATAGATTTATACCACTATAAAACTGGCTTACAACAGGAGGTTACCTTTCCATTTTCTGCCCCTGTGAGAACATGTATTGCTCCTCTCCAGAGACTGTGGCAAAAAAAGCACCATCATAGAAACAGAGACACACCTGCCAGTACCTTGATCTTGGGCTTTGTGGCCCTCAGAACTATGAGAAATTACTTTCTGTTCTTTATAAAAGACCCACTCTCTGATAGTCCACTATAGAAGCACAAAATGAACTAGGACACCAAGCAAAACTTGGAGTCATAGAAAGAATACTGGCCAAAGGTTCCTAATCTGTGAATTGATATAAATTGTGTGTGCTCTCTACTTTACACCAGGTTTTCTCAGGACAGACACTGAGATGAAGATTTAAGCACAAATAATTTATAAAAGAAAAGTGTTCCTGTTATAAACCAGAAAAGAGAGTTGGGCAAGCAGAGGCAAGTGAGACATTCACATCAGGAGCAAATATTACATGGACATTACAAAATCCCAGAGATTGAGATAAGTCATTTTAATACCATATCACATACAAATCAAAATAAATGGAAAAAAGTCACCATGAACAAAATGTGAACTTTAAAGGAAGATTTCTGGGTTGTTCTTTATTTTATAAGCCCATTATTATGCAACAGGAAAAACAGTTTTTAATTAGCCTAGATTTCCCCACCCACCTGCCAAATATGTTTATGACAGATGACAATGGTGCACAGAGATGGAACAACACCAGATTTTATGTTGCAGTTGTTTATTATAATGTTTACATTAGCTTTTTCTACTTGGTTTAAAATACAGGAGAATAATTTGACAAATGTATGTATGGTTACACAATTTTCCTTTTGCTCCAGGTTCCAATGTAGTTCAGCATACTATACATAGTAAGGTAAGGAAAAAAGCTAAAAAAAGGTATAATTTGAGGCAAAATCTAAGATCCAGCATAATCTCTGTAGAAACACTGTAATATGAATTACTCATCAAAGTTTGTTCATCTGGAGACAAAGGGACTGGGCTTCCAGCATTGGCAATGGCCCATCTTCAGGACAAAAACTCCCAGGTACTTCAGTTTTTCCATAGAGATGTCCAAGGACAGTGGTCTCAAGAAGGTAGCAATGCAAGTCTTAACAGCAAAATTCACAGTCACTGTGGAGAAAAACAGCTTACCAGGACAACAATTAACTTGGTTTAAGTGTTCATTACATTTGTTTCATGGTCTTCAGCAAGCAACTTAACCTTCATGGAAATATGTCCTATTTTGATAATCAAACAGATTGGTATACATAGCAAATATAAGGTAGCAAATTACCTCACCATTATCTCAGTCAAATTCAGGTATCTAACAATGTTCATTAATAGGATGCATAAGCAGAGGAGCCAACAAGTGAGCCATGGCTTCTGAGTAACTAAATATTCCAAATTGTACACATTGAAACTCATATACTGTATTCATAGTCATGTTTTTCATTTTCTCAAACTGTATGACTTATTATATTGAATCCACACTATAGAATATAGTTGTGAGGTTTTCAAGATCTTGCAGAATTGAAATAATCAAATAAGGTTGGAAATAAACTACTCAGTCAGATATGCAGGCATACAGCTTGAAGGGAAAGAAATGAGAAGTTATCATTTTTTAGAAAAGTATGAATTACAAAAATGTTAAAAATCATAGGTAATTGACTCCAACTATCAAATAATATGTGTTCACTCCCATGTTCACTGCAGTATTATTCACCATAGCAAAGAGATGGAAACAACCAAAGTTCCATAAGCAGATGAATGTGTAAAAACATACATGTGGTGTAGATACACCACATGTATGTTTTTACACATTTACAGACTTTAAAAGGAAGAATTCTGTCACTGTCACCAACATGGGTGAAGCTGGAGGATTCTGTGGTAACTGAAATAAACCAGATAGAGAAGTAAATACTGAATAATCTCTATGAAATCTAAAAACATCATACCCATAGAAGTAGAGAGTAGAATAATGCTTATCAGAGGCAGGGATTAGGGAAAGGTACAGGGTAGGAGTAATGGGAAGGGAAAAGAGAGATATTGGTCAAAGAATACAAAGTTTTATTTAAAAGTCGTGCATACTGTTCATTTATTACATAGTATGTAGGCTGTAGTTAATAATAATATACGTTTCAAAATTGTTAAAAGAGTATATGTTAAATATTATCACCTTAAAGAGCTGATAGGTATGTGGACTGAGGCTGTATTAATCACCTTGATTGGATCATTCCACAGTACACATAAATGAAACATCACATTATATCCCATGAACATATACAATTACTTGTCAATTAAAATAAAATAAAATTCTTTTAAGAACTTATTTCTAATAAATAAGCCATGAGATAATTCAAGGGCATGTTTGTTCTGCTTTCAAAGGCTTCTAAAGCACCCATTTCTTACCTCATTTAAAAAAAAATAAAAGTTTCATGAACCTCACAAGAAATTATTTTAAGTGACATAGAAACTTCTAAAGAGAGATAGAAGAGCAGAACTATACAGTCACTTGGGGATAAGAAGTTGTGGTGGTCAGGAAATGGGTTTATACAGCAGAGTCAGAATGGAGTGATTCTGTCTATCTTCATCCATGGGCCCTCATGACAGCATGCTCTCAGACCAAATAATGGCTCCTTCCCTCCTCACAAGGTCTACTTGGATCTAAACTTCTGAGACTGATCTGGAAAACATATACTGCATCCACATCAATGGAGGGCAGTTTCTGATGGAACGACAATAGAAGCTATGGATTGTGGTTGCTACAGTATGCTCAGGTAGTAACCAGGAACTATGACACTAGTATCAGACCATGGTTCTGATATACCTTATTGAGCAAAATAGTACACAGAAAGAAAACTGCTTTCTTGAGGCCAAGATTTTTTCACCTACTTAATTCTAAAGAGTATATAACTGGAAATGGGTCTTAAAATTAGTCCTAAATTCAATTAGAAAACTCCTCAGATATTAAGCATTTTTTCCATCCATTTTGGCCTGACAGATATTATCAGACTATTATTATTTTGAGGAGTAAATAACAAAAATAAATTCTGGCCAGCAAATTAAAAAAAAATGGGAATTCCTTAGAGGGAACCAGAGATCCTGGAGTAGGTCAGAAATTTAAAGCTAAAAAGCGAAGCAAACATTTTAAAATGATTTGTAAAAGTCTGCCAGGTAAAATTGGTAATAAGAAGTAATTTACAGAATTATTTATTTTTTTCTACTAGGATAAAATCATTTCTAATAAATTTTCAGTTTTTGTTGCACTCTGCTTAAGATTCTTAGTTTCCTAATTAAATTAACAAATCAATGAGAAATGAATGAATGAACAAAGGTAGGTATGGTCTTGTGTGTGGCTAAAGATGCTCAAAAATCTTGACGGACAGCTCCATAAAGACCACAGACAGTGCCAGGATGTAGCTCAGCAGCAAAGCAGTTGCCTTGCATTCACAAAGCCCTGGGTTTGATTCCCAGTTCCAAAAAAGTGGAAAAAAATAAATCAGAGACAATAAGAATGAAGTAATAGCTAAAAAAGTCATGACCAGAAAAAGGAAAGGCTGAGATTATGTTATAGAAATAAAACAAACCTGACAAACAAAAAATAAGATAAATAAAAACATTGTTTAAAATAATTCTCTCAAAAGCTATTAAGTGCACATTGCTTAGACAGGAGTCATTTGCAGTCCATAGCAGAGGAATTATATATCTGCTGATAACATCACGTAGAACCAGGGACAAAATAAGAGTGAAAAATAAGCAAGCCAGAAGCCCCTAAACTGTTCAGGAGAGTTAAGCTGCAAATGGAATTCAATTTTTTTGGCAACCAGAGCATGAGAGTCATATCAAACATCCATAATCACTACACAGAAATTGATGGTAATGCCTACTATTTACATCATCAAAATGATTGTAAACACATGAAGAAATTGTGCATTGTTGAGCAATTCCTGTTCATATTTATTTTAATAATTCTTGCTTATACTTATCTTAAGTGTTATTTAATATTTTGAATGATATTTAAATCTATACTGTCAGCTATTTGGAAAATTCTATGATTCTAGGAAAAAAAATTCCTGAGAGTTATGGCCTAAAAAACAAATTACTGTGATCTTGACATGATATGTGTATAATACTGAAAACTTGTCATGCCAAAATTGTATACATGACCTATAAAAATATTTGGAATTGATAGAGTTATCCAACTATACAACATTTAAGTGCAACGTTTAGGACTGAGGAATCATTTAAAATGGGCATTCATTGATTTTTCTAAAAAATTAATATGTGCAAATTTTTCCAATTAATGTAAATTTCAAAGGCTTCTGATTGTATGTTACTCCTGAAATAAAAACTGGTTGGGCTGGGGATGTGGCTCAAGTGGTAACGCACTCGCCTGGCACGTGCGGGGCACTGGGTTCGATCCTCAGCACCACATAAAAATAAAAATAAAGATGTTGTGCCTGCCAAGAACTAAAAAATAAATATTGAAAAATTTTCTCTCTCTCTCTCTCTCTCTCTCTCTCTCTCTCTCTCTCTCTCTCTCTCTTTAAAAAAAAACTGGTTTGTTCTGCATAGGGTAAAGAAAATCAAAGCTTACTATTGCATTAGATGTTTGGCTATGCTGTGTATATGAAGATTGACTGTCACTTTCAGGTTTTTTCCTGCAAGTACATTTTCTAGGCAGAACCAAGTAATTGATTCAAATCTGTTTATTTGAACAGTAGCTTAACTATCAATAGTTTAGCAGCATGTTCTTTCCCCTATTTCTTTCTGCCCTTACTGACCCAGGATCTCTACATCATGCTAGCTGATAATATAATTTCCAGATACTATCACAACATTTTAAGAATCTGGTTAAATATAATTATATTGGGGAAAATGAGTTATTTTTATCTATGTGACACATTTAATTATAACAACAGGTATGTTTTTCTTAGATTTTGTCTTTTTTACACCTATTTTCCCATTCCTTAAGTAGCTCATGATTCTTAGATGTTTCCTTCTGGAGATTTATTTTCTGAAAAATTTACCCAAGTAAAGTTTGGTGCCTTTTATAAAGAAGCATGTTAAAAATGTAGAGACCTTGTTATCTTCCTCTGGACTCAGAAGTCTTGGGATATGGCCTGGTATAAGGTAATAAACTCATTAGGTCATTTTTATACACGCCAAAATCTTAGTTTACCTATTTATGTGACAGAAAAAAAAATCCAGTTACTACTTTCAGAGAGAAAACCACTGAGCATTAACAGAATTTGACTAAAACAAAATATTAATCTGCCAGAAAAGAGTGATACTGCCCTAGTATTCTTACTAGTATTTTTTAGAATGACTGGCAGAAATCTCAACACACCATAAACAAGAAGGCTTTCAATGTGATTTCTAGAACACTGGAAAATTTGCTGTTTTCTGGCATAGTTTATTCTTACATGTTCTATCTGAAGAGAAAATAATACATTTTGTTTTCCTGACCAAGACTCCCCATATATTTTTTCTGTGCTTAAGAAGAACACCCTGGACATAATATATCTTATCTGTGACAGATCAGACAAATGTCAGACAAAAGGAAAAGCCAGCCACTTGCCTCTGTATGTAGTAGCAACTCTAGAGAATAAACCAGCATGAGTTCTGTCAATACTAAACTAAATTTAGAAATAAGCACCCCCACCTACGTTCCTTGGCAGCCCTTATTTTCACTGACTAAAGGGGTGGAAGACCTTTAATTGATTAGAGTCAAATTACTTGAGAATAATTTCAAAACAAAATGAGAAAAAAGGGGTTTTTTTCTGCTACCAGATATAAAAACATTTTTCTTGCCTTCATTTATAAGAAAGTCTCTACTTACCCACCATGCATTGAAAACTTTCCTGCCACCTTCACTATAAATCTAGTTTTCAATTCACTCATTCACAAGATTATGCACATGTTCTTACAGGAACATAGAAAGTCATTTTGTTCAGAACTAGAAGAATAAGAAATAAGTTCTGCAAAAAGAAAATAAAAGGTCACCTGAAATTTGATTTGAAACCTATTCTTAGGCAAAATTTTGATTTGAAACCTATTCAGCAGAAATAAGGCTACAACTGCCAGCAAAAGGAAGAGGCAGCATTTTGTAGCAGTGCACTGATTTTTTCCAAATGTTTTGAGGAAAGTCTTAAATAAAGACTTTGGGCAATTTTAAGTAGGAAGATAAAATGATCAGCACTGTGTTTTAGAAAGATCACTTCTACGTAGAGGGTGCACTGAATTGGGGTAGGGGTGGTGGAAAGTATTGAGGGCTGCACAAAACCAGTGATCATAAGATTCATGGGGAGGCACTGACTTGCAAGATATTAAGAAAATGGGAATGGAAGGAAGTGAGAAAGGGAAGAACAAGGAATTGCATCTTGGGTTTTAGCTTTATACCTGGCTGGGAAATCATAACTCAAAAATTTTGGACTTGTAAAATAATGAAGAAAAGAAGTTAAAGTGACAAAATATAAGAAGAAATATTTGAAAGACTCTTGTTATCACAATACATAATCTTCAGAAGCAATTCTGTTTAACTATCCAAAACTGATCTTGGTTTTGGTTCAAAGACCCAGTATGGTCATCCATAAAACTAGGCAGACACTTAGTCAATATTAATAAACCAGAGTCTACCATGATTTTCTTGTCTGAGAACTAGCAATGTATCCATTAAATAATGTGAAGAGCTCAGATAGGTCTTCCTCATCCTCCATAAATGAATTATGAATAAGACAAAACCAAAAGCTGTTTAAGAGATAACAAGAATTAAAGAATTTGCAGCAGATGGTACCAGCTGTGCACATTTAATTCCAGCTCAAACAATCTGCCAAACAGTTAGACAGAACTGCTTTTGCATGTGAAATTGGAGTGTCTCAGAGCCAAGGAAGAAATGAGAGAAGTCTTTCTGGCATTAGTTATCAAACCTTTTATTATAATTAATATTAGTGAACATAAACCTTTCCTTTCACTGCTTTCTTTGCACTAACTCTCTCTCTCTCTCTCTCTCTCTCTCTCTCTCTCTCTCACACACACACACACACACACACACACACACACCTTTTTCCTGTTTCCAATACACACACATTACATGCACATACACATATACACACCAATGTTTGCATTGATTAAATAAAAAAATAGACTCAAAGAATTGATTTGTCAAAATGCAGTGTACTAGTCATTCAATAAGTATATGTTAAGTATGTAAGATAAAAGGAGTATATTGTGGATATTTTTAAGATAAAAATTTTAAAGACCAAGATACTTCCGTCTATTTATAAAGATATTACCTATAAATAATAAAGCAAGAGTAAAGCAAAGTAATACAAATGTCATAAGATAATCTATAGACTTAAAAAGAAGAATGCTTAAAGTTCATTGGAATGCATAAATACATCAAATCTGGAAAAAATATATCTTAATTCAGAGCTGAAATATGGATTTGAACAGGCCAATAAAAGGATAAACAAAATTGACAAGCTAATGGAGCAATATTAGCAAGTGCTCCAATGAGGAAATGCCAACACAGAGCACACACTTAGTGGAATAGACTTACCAGATGGAGGAATATCCTTGAAGGGTCTTAACGATGAGATTTAAGACAGTAAATTTATCCTGAAGATAATGGGAAACCAAGGTTATTGGATAAGATAAAAGCCATGGTGAAATGACTACACTCATTGTTTTATAGAATGGAGCAGGAATGGCAAGCCTAAAAGAATCAAGGTAACAGTGAGGTCCCTGCAATAATACATGCATAAGATAACCACTCTCTGGGCTCAGGTGATGGCAGTAGAATAGATAGAAAGCAACACAGAAGAATCCCATACAAAGGAGACATTTTTAGATAAAAGGATGGGACACATGCAAAAATAAGGTTCTGGCTCTGTGAAATTAGTAAGACAAAGGTAATAATTTCAAAATTCAAAAAGAAGCAAATTTAGCAATGGAGAAGTACATGGAAAGGTTGAGTGCAATGTTAGCTACATTGAGTTTGAGATGTGAGGAAACATGAAAATGGACATGGCTATTGCTCAACCTAGGGCTTGGTAGTACTAGATCATACATAGATGTTTATGTCAAACTCATCCTAGAAGAAGTAATAGTCATGAGGATACATAAATGTTTTGAACTAAAATATTAATGAAAACTTTGGAAGCCTCAGAATATTACTGTGAAGATTACTGCCATTCAGTGGGAATAGGAAGCAAAGACTCCATCAGGGGAAAACAAAATGGACCCATCAGAGATCACATTGAAATGTAGTAGCCATGTCATAAGACCAGTGACCAGCGTCATTGACAGTCCCATATACTGTTGTAGCCCATGGTAGTCCCAGGGCTACCATGACAAATTACCAGTATTTCAGTGTCTTAAATCAATAGAAATTAATTATCTCACAGTCTGAAGAGAAAATGTTAGCAGATTTGATGTTTTTTTTTATTATTATTTTTCTGGAGGCACTGAGAGTAAATCCATTCTATGTCTCCTAATTCATGATGACTGCAAAAAAAAAAAAAAATCTTTGGTGCTTCTTGGCTTGTAGATTCATTCCTCCAGTTTCTGCTTCCTTTTTCACACTGCCTTCTCTTCTATGCCTCTGTGTCCCTAGTCTCTCTCTGCCTTTCTTTTATAAGGACACTTACCATTAGATTTGGGGTACCCCCTAAATTCAGAATTATGGAGTCACAATATCCTTAATATAGATACATAGGCAAAGATGATAATTTTGTTTTAACTGACAAATAATAATTGTATATACTTATGGGGGATAATGTGATGCTTTGATACATGTATACATTGTAGGGTGATCAAGTTAGGTTAATTTAATATAGCCAACACTTCACATACTTGTCACTTTCTAAAAACAAGATCACATTCATGGATTTCAGGGACTAAGACTTGGAAACATCTTTTGGAAGACTAATCTTTAACCCACTACTAAAAAGGTATACAGGTACATAGTAGTAAGATTATAAAGAAACTTATACTACTTTTATGCCATTTGAAAGAACAAACAAGAACTCTCTGATACAAGCAATTTTCCCCATTTCATAGATGAAGAAAATGAGCTTGGAGGAGGCATGTAAGTATAACATTATATTGTCCTCCTGTTATTAAAAAGTGACAGCTTACCATAAATGCATTCTCAAATGCTTTCCTAAAGCATTATGCACGCTGATCCAAACCAAGCAAAGTATTTACAGTATTTAATTTTATTATTTTTTCATTTAGAAAGTATGACTTTTTCATCATGTTTCTTCACACTCTTTTGAACCACTTAGTATAGATAAAGAGTTTGGGTTTGCTAAATTTTGAAGTGGTTTTTTTGGGGGTTGCTATTTTTTTGTTTACTTTGTTTGTCTTTTGATTTGAAAAAAAGGCAAAGTTAGTTGGGAAAAAATAGGGTTAAAATTCTTTATTATAAAGTATGTTTATAATAAATACCTGATTTCTTCAATTAATCTGAAGTGCTAAGTTGATTATTTTTATAAACCACTGTATACAAAAATACCAAAACAACAAATTGAATTGCTTATTCAATTAAACAATTAATTGACTGAGTTGTTTAGAAACTACCACTGGAAGTTTATATGAATTGACCAGTCTTTAGGGTCTCCATAAGTGGCATAAAAGTAGGACCTATTGCAAGGGCTGTTTCCCAATTTTAATCTCTTCCTGGCTATACTTCTATAACCTGTCACATGTTTTTTAAAAGCATTATATCCTAATTTACTAAATTTTAAATATTCATATAACTTTCCTAACTTTACTTTGAATGCATCAGGAAAGCAGTCTTCTTACTAAGCTTTTCCCTGTCAAGTATTCTCACATGATTCTAGAATGGCACCAATGTTTTTCCTCTTCCATTTAGGTTTCTCAAATTCCCATCATGTCATTTTACAGGACTCTCTCAACATAGTTATACTACACTGACACTACTGTTGCTTGAGAATACATTCAATTCTGTTACACCATAAGCTCCTTGAGGACATAAAAATGTGTGATTCTGGTATTTATTTCTTTGTAACAGGAGTTCAAAATGACTTCTTAAGTAAAATGAGTGAACATGCACATGAAAATGATACTAGCTATAAAAAGAGTAAAGATGACTTTGATCCCTGTCAAAGTCTTTGAGACAGATATTTGTACTTACAATCCAAATTGGATTATGTGTAGCCAAACCAAAATCAGCTACATTGATTTTCTTTCCTTTTGTAGCCAAAATGATCATTCTAAGTCAAGATTATTGTTATCCTCCTATCTGGAAAAAAAAATGAGGCTTACATGGTTTGGCTTCCCGTGCTCTTATTCTGAAAAATCTTTTAACTAATATTAAAATACATTTGAAAAACCAAAGAAATTACAGAATTGTTGGTGGTAATGTGGGAAGTTTAAAATTAGATACAACCATACAGGACAAATATTCATAATATTAATGTGGTTCAAACATAAGAACATATGTGAATTACAGGCTTCAAACTTGTGAAACAATTTTTACTATTTTAATGGTTCCTTTCATTTAATAGTTTTAAGGCAATAGGAAAATTAGCCTCATAATTAAAAGTTACAAAAAGGTAATAAATTCTGGTCTATCACCACCAGAGTTTAGGGGAAATGTACTCATTTTCTACCTGTGGGCTGTGGCTTGCTTAGTATAGGCTTCTGGAATTATTATCAAACATGATTTAAAAACAAACTCACTTCTCTAGAACGGACTTTCAGTTGTAAAATTGTTTATTGAAGATGTTTAAATCTCACAACAAAAATTTTAAGAAAACCTATTCTTATGTATATGAATAAAACAAAATATACTACATAATTTAGGATACACTAGGAATTTACAAAATAAAATGTTTTAATGGTTTTACTGTACCCTGAATATTTGAAAACATGTATGTACCTCAAGAAATTGTCAATTTTTAAAACTAGCAGAGAATATGTACCTGATAAATTCAGTTTACTAAGTTTTTAGGAGATAACAATGACTTTGTTGACAGATAGTTTCAGGGCATAAAATCAAATGTGTACTACATTTTGATAGTAATTTTGATTAAATTGACATACTGTGAAATCCATACTTTTGATACATGTTCTCTAAGTATTTATGTATTCTCAACTGCATTTAAAATTGATAGTACATAACTCTACTAAAGAAATGATGATAAAAATGTCTGGTGCACTGGGAATTAAGGTTTATTCATATAATGTCAGCAAGACAACTTTATTACTGATAAAAGAGAGAAGTCTAGATCATTTTGGTTATTTAGCAAAGATACATTTTGCTTAAGTTTTGTTTAACTTGAATTTTTCCACACAGAGATAAATGATAAGTCCCCATGATCAAGAAAAAGACAAAGAGAAAGGTCTGCTATTTATTTATTTCCTCACTTATTTAGTTATTTTGCAGTATTGGTGATAGAACCCAGAGGTGCTTTTCACCACTGAGCTAGATCCCCTGCCATCCCCCTTCTCCACACCTTTTTTTTTTTTTTTTTCAAACAGAGTCTCACCATGTTGCTGAGGCTGGCCTGGAACTTTTGAACCTCCTTCCTCAGCCTCACCAGTCACTGGGATTACAGGCCAGTATCACTGCACCCAGCCAACAGGTCTTTACAAATTCTTATGTTTGGTTTTTTTTTTTTTTTTTTAATTTCAGGATCATTACTCATATGTCCCTTAAGAACACACCATGATTCCCTTATTTCAGTAAGTGGGCCTGGTATATAGCTTATATTAAACTATCTGCATATTATATACTGAATTGTCTATACTTAGGAAGGCAGCATTTGAGAAGACATGAATGTAAATGTACTAAATTATTAGATGTGTGGCTCATGTCAAAAATATACTTTTCAGTCATTCTAATAATTGTCTTTGTCTTCTGTATCAGTGCATTTCTGTTTTCTCAGTCTTTAAAAACTAATATTGTTACCTTTATGTGACATAAATTTCAGTGACTTTCTTAATTTGGTAAAAAGCTTTAAAAGACTGTGATGCCTGTTGCATCTCTGTATTAATGAAATTGCTCAGAAGAGTCAGGTGATAAGAGGGATGACCCCCTAGGAAGGCACACATGGTAACACAATCAGCTTCTGTACACCTCTCAACCATGTTTCCTGATTAGCAGCAAGAAGGACAGATACTGTAAGACCCATCTGATTTATTTTCTTAAATGTGATTGATTTTTAAAAAGTCATTTTATCATGAACATTAGGTCTCTTGCCTTTTTTTTTTCTCTTTCACTCTCAAATAGGGAATGTTACTAATCAAGAAAATGCATAAACTTGAACTGGAATTCTGTTATTATTCTAGAATCAACATTTAAATTGAAATATTTTATTTCCTGAGAGTTGGAGAAGTCAGACATGACTGATGCAAGAATGGACACCTATGTAAAATGCAGAAGACAGTTCCTATTCTCCCCTGATTTCCTGTCAGTGAATTCTATTAAAAAAAATTAAAAAATAAAAAAAACTCTGAAGGAACAGGGAAATGCCTACTTGGTCATCATCTGTAAATCATGAGCCTTCTTATTTTACTCTAACTTAGTTGTTGGATTTTTCCCCCACACACCAACAGGTTTGAGATTGAGCCTTTTAATTGATCAAAGCATACATACAATCAGTGAACATTCAGCTTTAATAAGCAGGAATACTTCTGTAACAAAATAAAGACTGCACTTGTACAATAAGCCTTATATGAATCTATATGTCTATGACATGAATGAGGAAAAACACATTCTAAGTTTCAGTCAAAACACATTCTAAGTTTCATTCAAAAGTATAACTACAAAAAAAGGTACAAATACACCTTTCCACAATTAAAGATAATCCCCTTGACAAGTTCTTATGTTTTTTTCTGTGTACTTATTCTGTTTTGATCAGGTTATTTATTTTCCTGTGATGTGGCCCCTGTCATGCTCAAAGAGTAAATGAATGTCAAAGGGGTTATGATAATATTGAGAAATTTTTGGAAAAAGGCTTATTTTCTCCCTTTTAGTGCAAATTCAGCCATGTTTTAAGATCAAAGTAAATTATATTCCATAGGTATTTGGGGGAAGAACAGAAAGGGAATGGAATTCTGGCACTTACAATTTAAAGAACCTGTCCATTTCTGACCTAAACCCCTTTTAAAAGCTCTTTACAGTACTTAATCATTGTGATTGTCTTGACTATCCTTGCCAAGTCACTCTTTTCCATGACCTGTATGTGAGAAGATCAATAAGCTACATGAAGTAGAAAAAGCAAAAAACAAAGAGACTGACCAAGAGAAAAATAAGAGAGATTTTTCTTTACATGTATACGTGTTTTAAAAACTGATCACTATTAAACTATCTTATAAATCCTTGCTTTTCTATAATCACATGGAAACACTATAGAAAAATTTTTGTTGCTGTTACTACACTTTTAAACAAGCATCTTTGGAAGTTAGCATAGGATACAGTTGGCAAGCATGTGGACTTAGAAATCAAACATCATGTGTTCCTAGTTTCTAATATATATTATTTTGGGTAAGTCAAGAATATTAATTTCATCATGTATAGATATTTTCATCTCTAAAATGAAGATAATTTTGGTCTTCTCAAATGTTGTAGGGGGTATTGAATGAGGTATGCAATGTAAATATAACACAATGCCTAGCATACAGTAAGTACTTAATGTTACATTAGCTATTCCTTCTGTTTTCTCCAACAGTCTTAAACCTACATTAAACTTTGTTGCTTTCCTACAGAAAAGCTACAACAAACTATTTCTTCCTTCCAAATATAGGTATTGTATTTTCCCTTCTGGAGAAATTGGGGGATTTCTCTTTTAGAATTTTGGCTGATAAATTTAAATTTCTGGAATACCTTTGGAAATGTTCCCTAGAAGAGAAGGCTGCTGAGCATGAAAAGCAAGTGTGATCCAGCACTACATATGTTGAACTAAAATCCAGTGCTTCCAGTGATGACCTTGGACAAACCACTTCATTTCCTCATGACTTAATTTATTCTGACTGTAAAACATGATTTTCCATCTTGTCTCAGAAACTGAAAAACGTGAGTGAAAAGTGGTTTGAAATTTATGGTGAGCTGTAGAAACTAAAAACCATAGTATTGTTCAATGTATTATAAGCCACCTGAAAAAAAATAATTAACAATCTCACATTGAAATGATAGGCAGGGAAAGATAATTGGATTATAGAATTAGCAATCTGTTTGAAAATAAGTATCAGAAATTGGTATCTTTGCAGTAGTCTTCATGGTCCCATAATCAAACTATTTTGTGCACAATAATTCCAATAAAAATATCTCTGATTTTTGAGAAATTAAGTTCTTTTGGTCTAAAGTCCACCTGTGTGGATATGTATTCATGTGCTCAAACAGACTGCATAATGCAATGATTTTTGTTTTCTTTTAATAAAAATAAATTTAGTTGAGGTGACTAGCCTCTGAACCCTTGGGAAGGAGAGGTTTGTTATGTGCCCTTATTAAGTCCAAGAACCTGTTTGCATCTAACTCATTGTTCAGCCCAACAAAAAGCAAAGCAGCAACAACACACCCTGACATCTCCACTAAAATCAATGCCAGAGCCATTGCCAAGGTGGCTGAGCAGGCTAATGACGTTTTCAATGTTGATCCTCCCAATCACAGTCTAGTCCCAACCTTGTCGCCCACTCCCTTTAGTAATCTGCACATGCAGACAATAAAAGAGCACCCTTGGGTAAGAACAATATTCTGCCCCACCACTCTTAAATGTACCTCTTGGAATTTAATGAGGTCACTTGGGCGTCTACAGCTTTTGCCTTTTGCTATCTCTGCCCAGGACAGCAATCCCTCTCAACACGCACACGCATGAACACGCATATGCACTGCAAAAACATACTTGAGAAAACACCTACGCAGAGAAAATCACACCTTCCATCATCTTCCATCAACAAGCACCCTTCCCCTCACTACAGTGCCAGCGTTCCTTTGCTCGCTTCCCACCCCCGCAGCCCCCACCCCCGCTTCTCCCTCTCTTTCTAGCTTCTTGCATGGCAGACGCACACAATGCCACGTACCCAGAGAGCTCAGAATCCTTCTGGTAGATTGAACCTACTCGCCACTCACGCCTAAGGTTGCTCTCACAGTGCCCACTTCCCAGAGCAGAACTCCAGCCAGAGGCAACCACCTTGGTCCATTGAGCCCGCAGCTCCAATTGGAGCCCAGGAACAAAAGCTGGCCAGGGTGATTGTGTGGTTTACGGGACAGGATCCATGATTTGTGGGCAAGACAAGGAGCTGAAAACTCAAATTGGGTAGTTTTTTGACTAAATCCTGTACAAAGACGCTCATCCCCTGATAGACTCCGGCATGCGAGAAGGACCACGGGCAGCAGCAATTACCTATTCCAAAACAGCACTGCAGCCCTCCCCACTCCTGAGATGGGACCAGATTCCCGAAAGGTCAGATCATCAATCCGGCGCCTGGTCTAAGGAACATTCTCGTCGAAAGATTTGGGCCAGGACTGTACCAAATATATACATATATATATTAGGAATCTGGCATACAGGAGCAAAACACGCTGGGCTCAGGGACGCAGCTCCTGCACGACATGGGATAAGAGAAAACAGGGTCCCTGGTAGAGTGAAGGAGAAACGGGTGGCTCGGAGATGGCCAGTAGATGGCGCAAGAACTCTTCCTTTGTACAATCTTAACCCTTCAGTGGTGTATGGGACTGCCAAGTCCGTATGTATAGATATATACATTTTGCGTTTGGGGGGGGGGAACTCTCATTTACATATTTGGGACAGATTCAGAATTAAGACAAACGCGTGTGTTCTAGATAACGACCACAGATAAAGTAGTTTAACTGCAGTACACATTAGCTGAAAGGGAGTTTGGGAGGATGAAAGGATGAACTATTTGGGGAAATGACTCTGACTTCCCTCTTCACCCCACCCCCGCCCCGGCCACGGATGAAATCCGTTTACTGAATCATAAAAACCGAGTTATGGGTTTACACGTAGGTATTTGAATATGTAAATGCATGTGTGCAAATAAAATCTTCTGTGATTTCCCTTTTCAATTAAATCAAAGGATAATAAATGCGAGAAGGCTGCCTGAAATATACTGCAACTACAGTAGTAACACATGTTCCATTATAAAGACGTGGGCATCGATGGAGCCCGGTTCATTATCATCAAAAGCAACGCAGATCTTCCGATTAAAATGTTCCTTTAACATGCTTCTGAATTCGCAGGTTGCGATGGAGAGCTCACTAACATTATATTTCTTGGGCTGTTTTTACAGGCGGAATTGATCTATTCGGGGGAAAAAAAACCAAGTCCCTTAATTTCAAATATCGTGGGGAGTTTATCAGAGAGCGGAGCTGGGCTTTAAGAGTCTCACTAGTGGTTTCTGGTGGTTGCTATAACGAGCTAGAATTGAGGTAGATTTTAGTGGAGGGGAAAAAACGCACAAGAAAAGACAGAATCCAGAGTAGCCGAGACTTTGTGCCCCCGTTGGAGAGATGGTTGAGTCCTCGTCAAGGTTGCTGTGGTATCCCAGAAACACCATTCACTCCGAGCTGTGACCGCGCACCAACAACAGCAACAACTCCACTGCGCCGGGCTGAGGAGCAGGAATTAGGAGCTCGCGAATAATATGAAAGGGATCCGCAAAGGGGAAAGCCGAGCAAAGGAATCCAAACCCCGGGAGCCTGGCACGCGAAGATGCGCTAAATGTGGCCGCCTAGACTTCATCCTGATGAAGAAAATGGGGATTAAAAGTGGATTCACGTTTTGGAACCTCGTCTTTTTATTGACGGTGTCTTGTGTGAAAGGTAGGTCGGCTTTCAGGGGACCCCTCTGGTTTGGAGGAAGGTGGGCTGACTTGTCGCTTGAGCAGGCTAGCAGCTTACTTTGTAATTTGCACGGATAAAATAATAATGATAATACTGATGAAGGAGTTGATTCACAGCTCTTTCTCCCCCCTCAGATAGGAAATGCATTTGGCTTGCCAGATTTGGCGTTCAATGCGGTGATTGAGCTTGTGCTCAATAAATATTCTTGCAGTATGCTCAAACGAATACGTGAGTTGGTTAGTATAGCCTCTAACTAGTGGATATCCAGGCAGATTCCTCTGCAAGACTTCCCTAGGTAGTGAGAATAGCCTTGGTTTCTTGTCAAATTAGCAAGGTTTGATGTTTCTGGTGGAACATTTGTATTAGACACTCTGGTGTAAATGCTTTTTAACCCTTTCAGGGAACAAAGTTACCAATATGCTAGAAAGATGTTGATTTTAAATGCATTAGGATACAAGGGTCTTCCAAGCATTGCTACACAACATGAACGTCTGCATACATATTTGAATTATTTCTACGTGGACTCTGTGCAATGAGAAATGTAAGGGAGCTTCTTTAGGTCCTGTGGTAAAGGTTTAACCAAAACTGGAGTCTTAAAACCGTCTGAGATGCCACACCGTGTAAAGATCCACCTTTGAGGCTGAATGAAGGTAGGAGGAAAGTCATTAGCTGATGACCAAAAAGAAAATCCCCAGCAAGTCTCAGCGTTCAGACAGGTAGAGAGTGAGTGTCACATGTACAGACAAGGGGAGGGGGTGAGTGGGCTGTAAAATTTATTCCTGAGCAGGAAGGCAAGGGACAGTCAGGATCATTGGAAGAAGAGCTGTCTTCGGGGAGAAAAATAGATCTACTGCTCTCTTTCACAACTTCTGCACCCTGCTGCCCATTAATTGCTGCAAAGAATACTCAGGAGGTGTTTATGACTCATGCCATCATTTTTGAACAATCACTTCTCCATACTCATGGCAGCTCGAATAGACGCGATAGATGTCGCTTTTAGTAGAGCTGGTTTCAAATCCTGGGTGTCTGTGTGTTGGGGGCCATCGGGGGTGTTTTGGCCCAGGCGCGCCAAGGCTGTCAATACAAACTGGACGCTTCTTCCTTTGTAAAGGAGTGCCTCTCTGAACCGCAATCCGGCCGCGTCTCTATGAAACAGTTTATTGTCCAGCTTGCAGCTGGCTGTCCCCCCACAGAAGCCAGCACATTTGCATTCAGTAGAAATGATAATTCATGTTTTGGGGGGAGGAAACTGGAGAGGTTACCCCTCCTTCTACTATGACCAATGATGGGTGGCATGTCTCGAATTTTAATTTGCATCCCTAAATGGCAAGAAGTCGTCCCTAGTCTCTGTGGCAGCAACTGCCTTAAAATCCTGACCTGGTCCTTAAAGCTGATTCGTGTGTGTGTGTGTGTGTGTGTGTGTGTGTGTGTGTGTGTGTTTTGAAACCTCCGTGTAGCTCTGAGATAAAAACCCTTGTCTTAAGCTGTGTATCCACAATGCCTAGTGCGCAAAACGCTTCTGAGGTTGCTTACAAGGGGTTTTCGCCCGCTAACTCGACGTGTGAAGAACCACACATTTATGCTTAGTTTGCCTGCCACTGGGAGTCTGCGGTTTATGGATGGCCTTGGGGCTGCCTGCTAGAAGAGCGCTCCGCGTGGGGGAGGCGCAGAAAACTAGCAGCAACCCTGGCTGTAAAACGTAGGAAAGTCTCCTTCGAGAAGATGACCGGGGATTAAGTGCGAGTTTTCACGTGATACCTGTTGAGCCAAAACACATTTGGGGGGCCGATGAGGGGGAGTGAGTCTCCGAAACAGGGCGAGCTTCACAGTCTGACAAATGCTGAGCGGCGCTGGCTGCAATTACAGCCCCGGCAGCCCGCACCTACCGTATTTTCCAAATAAAACGCGCCACCAGAAAGGAAGGGCGCCTTAATATGCTTTAAATGGCATTGGCAACGGGACCCCTCCCCTCTATTCATAGCGCTCATACTGTAGACTGAGATAATTGATTTCTTTTGAGTATATTCCAGTTTTGGGAACACTGGGGAGGAGGGACATCATCAGTCTGCTTTGGCCCTTTCCAAAATCAATATGCTACAGATCGTTAAAACATTTTTACTGATAATAAAGTTCTTCATTGCCACACATCTGGCACACGGAGGACATATCCTACATTTTATAACTTGAAACGCTGTCCTAAAATTCTGAGAAACTTCCATGGGTTGTATGTCTTAGATCTGCTCCCAATCACAGGGTGGTGCTCGTTTTAACAGTTGTTTCTCATTCTCCTTTTAAAATTTTAATTTCAGCTGAGTCTCAAGGTTTCCCTAAGACCAAGATTTCTGCAATGTCTTAAACAATGTTTGCCTAAATGTCTATCATTCCTGCTTTTGTCTTCCTCACGGTTTCTTCTGGGCTTTGAGTCCACAGCAAAGGATTGAGAAGTCTTTCCGACGGTTTTGCAGGTCCTGACCTAGACTAGTGCGAGGTTTCAGGAGGTCAGGGGCGCACAGTTTTCCACGTGAGCAGCTTCGGCCATGAGAATTCCACCATCTGTCTATAGTTTTCATCTCTCCACCATCTCACCTCTGCGTGCAACAGCAATGACAAAGAGGTTTGGTGGGAGGAAACGCCTCAGAGTGGCAAGATAAAGTGGTCTTTGGTAGGCCTGAACCTCTAGGGTGGGGCTTAAAAGGAAGCTAACCTTCCCTGGGTATTTTATCTCCACCGTCGTCATCTGAAATAAAAGGCTATGCAGGGCACCAAATTGGAGGTAGCGGGGCGGAGGCTTCTTAGACTTGTTTCATGTCTATTTCCAGCTGAAACAACACACAGAGAGAAACAGACAGACTCGAGGGCAGAGATTTTGAATTGCAGCTTCCAGCTGCAGCGTGTCTGTTTAGGTATCACCCAGATAGAAATTGTGAATCTCCAAGTCGTGCTTAAGCGCCCCGCCCATGTAAAAAGACACCAGCGGGGCGCTTTCCCACGCTCCTTCTCAGGGGATCCCGAAGGAGCCCACACAACGTGAGGCGAAGGCAGGAAAGGCGCAGCCCTTGGTCCGCATCAGGTGGGAGCTTGAAGCAGCTTCCTGCACCCAATGCCAAGGGGTGATCCCAGGAGCTCTTGCAGGACTCCGGACTTCAGGAAGGATGGTCGTTTCTGCTTGCTCTGGGACTTCAAGGCGATAATACTTGGCTACAGAGCTTTTCTGGAAGAGTGGAGATCGCACCCTCTTCCTATGTTAATTCCTACTGGAAAGGGTCGCGGGTGTCCATGCGGGGGCGGGGTAGAGCTGCAACTGAGATCATTAGCACATTTCACCCACATCCGGGTGGCCACGCCTGGAGGTCTTAGCCTCGCTGGAGTCTGCGGCGACTGACACCCTCACTCTCTCCAGCCTCAAGGCGACAATCTTAACCTGGTGTAGGAAAAAGACAAGTAGTATCTTAAAAGACATTTTCCAAGGGGGTAGGGGGGCCACGTTAACGTCTTCACAAAACAAAGATACCAACCAAATAAGTCACGGGGGGGGGGGGAGTCATTGTCATCAGCAACACCCTTCCTCCAAGATTAGCATCATTAATACACCTGGCGGGAGGTAACCTTTGTGTTTGAAACTGGATTTGGGCAGGTTTCCTTCCCTTCATCTGTTTCCTCTAGAGATATTTATTATTTATTTTTTTCTAGAAAGCCAGACTCCGCGAAATTTCTATGGACCAAACCAGGTTGAAGTTGGTGAGCGAGTGGGTAAATATGCGTATGCGTGTCCGTGTGTGTGTGTGTGTGTGTGTGTGTGTGTGTGTGTGTGTGTGTGTGTTTTGCTGGAAGGAGGGAATATAATGCATTGACACCAAAGAGCCTTCAGGAGGCCTGGAGGGTAGGTGTGTGTCCTAGGCGGAAACGCGGGTTAACAGTACATTAATTTTTCCTGCACTCCAGATGGTCCATGGAGCTGCAACCACTGCTGCCGCACAATCCGGTGGAGTCACGGAGAAAGAAGCCCTTTTCTCCCAGCAGATCACAACGCTACCCTCAAACAACTCCCCTAAAACGCAC